AATGGCAAACTTACTTACCCCTGCCAGAGCCTCATGCCTGTGAGCTTTAAACCCCTCAGCTGGATAGGAAAGCAAGCAAACAACAGCAGCGTGAGAGTCTGCTGCACGTTGTCCAAACGGCAGGAGCGGACTGGAGGTCAGTTCACATTTCACTGCCAATGAGATGTTCCTCCAACTCGTTTTAAATCCGAGGGGGAAAACATCGAGCGTGTCTCAAATTTGGAAATCGATTGCCAGACCTTAAAGACATTTAAAAATTAAGGTATTTCTAATAATAATATATAATAATCCTTACACCTATGTGGAGAGCTTTTCTGGACACTCCACTCAAAGCACTTCACAGGTAATGGGGATTCCCTCCACCACCACCAGGGTGCAAGTCTCAGACAGCTAATATATGATTAAATATCTCATACTGTATAAAGAGGAAATGCTCATTTGATACCCCAGGTAGAGTTAGGGTTAGCATTCACACACTACTTAGACAATTTATAACCTCAGGGCTGGATTAAGGGTCCTAAATCAGGTTTAGGACGAGTGGTTTTTACCTCTTTTCTGATTTTTTTTTTTCAGAAACTCCCAGGGGCCTGGGTGTCATGGTGCACTGGGCAGCAACTGTATCCCAAAACTGAGTCGGTCGATCAAAAGTTGTAACCTCGCATTATTGAATCTCAGTCAAATGCAAGTGCTTCTATCAGTGGTCTTCTTTGTTTCTCATTCATTCTTTTTCATCTGGTGAACATGTCAAAATCCTATGCCCAGAGAAGCTCAGATATACAGTATAGCTCTGAAAGAGGAGACAATTGAGCTTCAGTATAACCACACTGAGCACTGTGAATATCACAGACAGAAGAAATCTCTGGTAGGTACCTGTCTTTATTACCTAATTTATCCCCCTGGTGGGGCTTGCTATCAAACTATCTGCGCACATACTGAAACCATCGCTTCCTCTGTCAGGCACATGAGATATTTAATGATCAAAGCTTTTTCACCTTTGCTCAACCAGCTCAAATGCCTGCCCTTTGCTCTACACATTATACCAGTGCTCCTTTTCATCTGCTGGGGCATTGTGGACACACTGTGCATTATTTTTAATTAATTTCAAATATTGCTTACAATTCTGGTTACCACATTCTAGAATAGATGTTGCTGCTCTGGGATCAGTTCAAAAAAGAGGTATCAGGTATGTTCCAGGGCTTAAGGGAATGTTCTACTGCACTGGCAGGCTGAAAAAACTGAACCTTGTTAGTCCTGAACAGAGGAGACTACGAGGGGACCTGGTACAAAATTCTCAAAGGCACTGGCAAAGTCAACCCAACAGATTTTGTCAAAACGTTCAGTGGAATACCCACCACAGGATACAAGTGTAAACTATGCAGAAGTGCATTTAATACCACGGATAGGAGGCAATACTTTACACAGAGGGTTGTGGGAGTATGGAACAAGCTACCCAGGCAGCCAATCTCCTGGCTTCTGTCAAGAAACAGCTAGATGAGAATCTCTGATCCGTGAGGACTGAATTCCCTCCTCTCATGTGTAACCATTTTGGGCAGAATCCGAATATCTCCCATTCCTGACACATGGTACAGTAGCTCAGCCCGCTGTCCCTGGGAATCTTCAAGGGAGCAGTCCACAGATTCCTGTTCAACTGAAACTTTCATCAAAAAACAGAAGTCTTCTTTAATTTAAATTATTTTATCTGTTCTCAGCCTTTTTTTTTTAAATTAAAAAAAAAGCATGATCTTGCTGTGAAACATCTTCGGACAAAGCCAAACTGGGATGTTCTATACATCTGTGTGTGTGAAATCTCTGCAAGCTACATTTGCTGTTGATTTCACCTGAAGCCGTGCCAAAGAGCCTCAGTGTTAGAGCACCTGCTGTTCTTTTGAAAGGGTGCCCAAGGACTTCTGAAATTTCCATCGCTTGGGCCAAACTTCCTTACCTTAAGGGATCCTCCAAACAGGACTAATAACACCGCACCATGTGCTAGTGTGATGCCTGGCTCACGGGAAGGAGAATATCGCCGCCCTGTGGAGACTTTGCCGAATCTCACTGTGCCACATCCTGGCCGGATCACGGAAGAGTATTGTGCTGGCCTGTCCTGTCTCCCATGGCAACCACCTCTGCGATGGCCTCAGTTTAGCAGCCTGAGGCGACCTGACTGACAGTCTCCAAGGTTACTAGGAGTTTACCTGAAATAAGAGTTTGGAGTTCCTAATCCAAAATCACATCAAAGTCACAAGCCGTGCAATGGTGTCCGAAGACACGTGAAAAATGTGGAGGCGACCTCAAAATATTTAATTAACAAATTGGGTATATGGGCATTTTTTTTTAAAGTACTGCGTTTCAGTACAATATAGCTCTCTTTTCCTCCATTAGCCATTTTAACTATGGAATGATTAAAAGGGTCACATTTATGCCATTTGTCCGTTTCTGAATTAATTAGACATCTCACAACGTTTGTCCAATAAATTCATTTGAAAGTTAAAAGACAGACTCCACGAAGGGGTTTTATTTTTCTTTTAAGCTCTGACCTTTTCAGTCACCTGGGTGGCCTGTTTGCTGGTCACCTGGGCTTTCCCGATCACTGAGCTAAACGTGTCCTTCCCTTTGCCGGAAGTGGAGTCTGCTCTTCATCAATCACAGTGGATCAATCGCAGTTCAGCAAGTGTCCCCATTCACAGGACTGGAGCGACTTTCGAACAGTTGTGTTTCGGGCCGGGCAGCGTCCTTCTCCGTGATCAGTAACGGTCGTGAACGAAGTGCTTGAAATACTGAGGCATTTGTTCACTTGTGCCACGTAATCATCATAGTTAAACATCATTCAAAGGCGATTTGAAGACACGCGTATTGTGATAAACCCTTCGGCGTTAATTCTCAGATTTCTTTGATCAGATTGATGATCCAGATGCCTCCTTTCGCTGACGTGCGTGTGCAACCCCCTGTTGGTTAAGACAACAGAAAGGTGTTGAGCTGTTCCTGTTTTCAGAATCTTCTGCTTCAATACATTTTTAAATTAATGTCGTGTATCTGCTGTATAGTAATCAGTTCCACTGGCCACTCATTTTCATTTTGAACCACAAGAGGGAGCACCACTCACGCCCCAGACCAAACCTGCAGCAAAACGCCTTGTACCCAAAGACGTTTTTATCTGCCTGGGCGATCTTCCTATTATCTGTGCAAATCCCCTGGAGCATCTGGTAACTAGAAAATCAAGTGAAACAAGGAAGAAACTAAACTACAAGACAATAGTAAATGCTTGATTCCCTTGAAGAGCAGTAAGCAATACAGTTTCTGTAAAGAAGCAGATAACTCAACCCAAAGAATGAATAACTGGGAGCTTCTACTTCAGGGGTCATTTTAACACATTTCAAAATATTAAATTAAATCATTAAAGCATTAAGATAATCAAAACGTAACACTATGAAGTGTTTTTAACAGAATAAAGCTTTTTATGACATTTAATATACACTCAGAAAAATGCATGGCTGTATTTGTAGCAAAAAATACATTTACTTCACTTACAATTATATTTTTAGGACACACATTACTTCATAACTCCACCACAGCCACATAAACTTTGTTCTTTTCATAAGAGCAGCAATCAGTTAAATTAGGGTGACCATAAAACCCCAAAATCACCTGTGCAGAATTTTAAAGCTGATCATGCACTGAATCTGCAAAAACCTGCAATCTGTATCTTAAAATTGTGTCACACGTTTTACTGGGGCTTCATTGCCAAGAGCAAACAAGAGAACAGCAGTAACACTGACCTGACCTAGAAGCGCCAGTTATATAATCCACGTGCAATCAGAAGAAAAGCAGAAACTTGCTCATGTTGTTCACTGAAAAAAAATCTATTTCTTTTAATGAAAAACAAAATAGTATTATCATACCGGGCATGGTAGTTAGCTAAAGTGTGACAGTGACACTTTACTTATCCGCTGTTGTTTTTTGCAGCAACTTTAATTTTCTGCAGTTTTGAGGTGTTTTGGTGCCTGTGGCACCTGATGGTCACCTTCTTAAAATTCACATATAGATGAAAAAAAAAAAAACATTTTAACTTTCAGGTAACCATCTCATAATATGGATATTTTAAATATCATTTAAAATGGTTAAAATACATAAATTTTCAGGAACGCTTCTATGAATTAGACAAGGCTTTTATTCACCATTCATCTAATAATCTAATAATAAACGCTTATTTATCATTACAAGTGTCCCATGAGTTTTTATTTTAATTCTTAGTCCAACTATTTTTATAGGAAGATGTTGTTGGGTGGGTATCAGTCAGTCACAACCGTTGAAACTGACTGTAAAGCCACTGTTGCAAGAATGAAGACAGATGGGAATCTACACACATATACACTTGTGTTTATCTGTAACCCTGCTAGTAATCATGAATAACTTATTTGGCCGATACTTTAATTCAAAGCAACAAAGTTTTATACGTATTTACATAGGGGCCCATTGTACTGGAGTGCAGTACCGTACTCAAGTGTGTAGCTGCTGTGCATCGCCTGGTATTTGAAACCACAAGCCTAGAATTGTGAGCACTACAGCACGCCGACACAGGTACACACTGGACTTTTTTTTAATTCTGAGGAAATAAATGAATGTATTTCTTAAAATGTGACAAATTCCTTCCAAACTATTCAGAGGAATTGGTTTCATCAGGAACTTAAAGATGCTATAATGTTGCAATTATTTCTGTTGGTGTTATTTGACTGAAGCTTTTACCTCCAGCGACTAATCAGCATTTTTTTAATTAGTTTGGGATGGCTGTGCATCCGGGCTAAGCTTCTGCAGACCCAGTTTACTACAGGATTACACAAGGAACTTGCAAGTATCCTGCAATAAAAGAAAAAAAGTCCTTTAAGGTAGAGGTGACAAGTCCCAATGTACAGCATCATCATTGCACAGCTATAAGTCAGAAAGTCAGCATGTCTTATTATTGTCATTGTGTTTTATCTTATGTATTCTTTTCATTTATTGTTGTTGTCATTCTGTAAAGCGCTTTGAGAAGCCACCTTTAAAGGCGCTGTATAAAATAAAGTTTATTATGTCTGGCGACAGCTTATAAACCGCGGACTGGCATGAAGGCTAATCAGACTGACGGCCGAATCGCAGACTTTGTCTGTCGGAAGTGAGTCTCGGGTGGACAAATCTGTGTCTAATATCCAATATATGACATGCATTTCAAAACTAAAACACACCTATTTGTTTTAGTATCCATACCTAGCAGCTGTGAAACACAACATCGATTTTCAGAGTCCAGAAGTGGGTGTAAAATGCGCCGTGAACTTCCCTGGAAAAGCAGCCCAGCAGCTTTGTCCTTCTGACTCTCTGTTCCTGATTTGTTTTAACCCCCCCTCAGCGTTTCAACTTCCGTGGATGTGCCGCAAGGCAGGAAACAGGTTCCGCCGCCCTGCTGCAGGAGGGTGGTTGGGGCTTGTCAGCACGTTCGACTGGATTTCCAGTTCGCTCTGGTTTGCGTGTCTCGAGTCATGTGCTTGTGAGCCTGTGGGTTCCCGGGGTGTGAAGATGTGTGGGGAAAATGGAGAGCCGCTGTCGCCGAGCTGCTGTTTGCCTCTGTGTCCCAGGCGGTCTCTCCACAGGCTGTGGTCTCTGGACGTGATTTGTCACTGTGCTCAGAAGCGAGCCATGTGACCGCAATGCCCAACACACGTTGCAGACCTGTGCCAGTTAGTGGGTAGTTACGATAGTCTATCATGGCTGCTCCTACACCTTCTAATACCAGTACAAATCCTTCTTCTCCGGAGTCGGGATCCCTAAAACACAAGTCAGGAAACAATGAGACGTGACATGAGAAAGTGAAATCTCATTTTTACACACTGATTTTCTTCATCTTTAGTACGGAAGGATTGTATCTGTAATATTACAATGTGACATGTTCTAGCCTCCTTGGTGCACTATGGTTGGCCCATAAACTCCAGCCGTTCATACGTGTGTGAAGGATTCTGTTCTGTAATGTCGACGTCTTCATCACAGAGAGGAGTCTTATAGGAAGAGGCTCTGGTCTGCAGGTTTCAGAGGTGGAGCGTTAAACACAACTCCTTCCATCACAGGCAGCGTTGCTCCTGAGATGAGGCCCAGTTAGAGCACAGAAGGCATGCTAGGCTTGGGGACCAAGCTTCTCACTTTGCTTTGAAACTGAGCAAGTACAGCATTCAGTCCTTGTCCAGATTCCCACTCCCCCTCACCTACCAAGCTCTCTCCACAGCAGCTCGGAATGTGTACAGTAACAGTAACGGAAAACTGGGAAAGCCTATGGATTTTAGCGAGTTATGAGGTCTTTTCTCCCTCACACTGACATTCTTCCACGGAGGTCTGTACCAACAGGTGTGCAAATAACTAAAGACAGCCTCCCAAAAAATAAAAATTGAGAAGCTGAATCTGAGAAGTGGGGATATTTTCCCACATTGACACATTAAAAGTACTTTAAATGCTTTACTTTTCCATAGTTTGAATGTGTCAAATGTTTTCATACCGCAGGCACACCGTAGGTCTAACACATCATTCGTATCTAATGCACAACTATTTACTGCAGGATCATGCATGGTGTGAGTGTGAATCCCTCCGCCCTGCTGCTCCCACTCGAGGAAGGAAGGAAGGTGTACCTCACCTGAGTCAAAGCCCAGCCCAGCCCCCATGGTCTCCCTGAAGGCAGCTGGTGGGGTCCCGGACCAGCCAGGGGCCAGCTCGGGCTTTGAGGCCGAGATCGGGACGCTCACCCCCCCCTGCTGCTCATTCTGCAGAAGGTTTAGGAAGGAGGTGGGGTACTGGCGGTCCGTCGGGATTCTGGGGCGCTCTTGGGACACGGGCTGAGGGTACGCAATAGGGGAGAGCCCAAAGCCCGAGCCGGGTTTCGGAGGAAAGGTCCAGATGTGTGGCGTTTGGCTGTGGGGGCCACTTAACACCCCCGAGGAAGGATGGGGGTTCTCTGACGCGGCAAACTGAATGCGGCTGGGGTTTGGAGAGATAGCACCCCCAGGCCAGGCTGGAGAGGGGAAGCTCCACTGTCCCGAGAAGGAGGTCTCAGCTGAAACTGAAAGACACCAGCAATCACTACGGCACCACGGCCCACCTGTGGATTCCTACTCAATGCAGCACATGCGGGTGGGAATTTAAGACGCCCGCCCTGGTGCGCTGCACTGATTCCAAAACATTTAAGGTGCTTAAATTAGCCACTCAGTTGGGGATCTGCACCGGCGAAGCACTGGACATACTTTAAATAGAATACAGGAAGTGTATCTTTTTATTTCCCTTTTGCTTTACTTTGGCATTTAAAACCATGGGATTTGGCATCAGGGCGTGGAGAGGGCGGCACAAAGCTGGGACAGGGGGAACCGAGCGGGACCAGGGAAGCAGGCTGGGGCTCACCGGCTTTGGATTTGCTCTTGCTCTTCGTACTGAGGTCCTTGGGCTTGTTGGCCTTGTTGAGAGCCCTGGAGAAGTGCTCGTCCACCATGCTGCTGATGTCTCCCTGGAAGTACGTGAAGAGCACACAATTGGACTGCTCCTCCTGCTTTCCGGCGGGATCAAGGCTGAGCTTCTCCTCCATTGCACAATACCCTCCGTTCCTGGCAGATGGATATCGAGGAAGAGGTCGTTTGTGCACGTTAGTTGCAAGTTAGGGCAAAGCAGGTCATTGCTTAACATGTAACATGTTCCCGAGCTACAGCAGATCGGACTGGGCCATGAGTCGCAGGGAGGCGACATCAGTGCCAGCTAACAGTCTGGGCTCAGTGCAGTGATGCAAAATACAGGCCATCGCAGATACCAACAGTGTGAACAGTGGATTTATTTTGTCTAAATTACCCACAGAATTACAGCTTGCTGTTGAATGAGTATTGGAAATTCTCTTGCTGGGATATTGGCTAAGATCGATGATGGTTATTCATTGCTTAGAATGCTCATCTGAATATATTCCCAAAGCAAAGTTTTACTTCTTATTTTCTGTTTCTACCAGAGCTTCTAAATCTGATACGTCAAGTACTTCACTTCTTAGTGGTTTCAGTATATGTGTGGATTCTTCTAGGTGCTCAGTCTCCTCACTGCTGAGCTCTACGCCAGTGTGGAATGTTTTGGCTTTACTGAGCCTGTCAGCCTCCCAAGATGTAAGTGCGGTGAAGCAGTAGCTCTTGTGGTTTGGGGCGTTTCCAACGTCCAAGAGTCCGAATGGGCATCTGACCTCTGCCCCCTGACCCCCCGGCTCTGCTGCGTGTAGCCCTGTCTGTGGTGCTTGAGGATTCTATCGCTCTTTACACCCTAGCACACGTTATTGAGAGTCCAGCTCCTAGGATTAACCCATTGTGTCCCGTTTGCCCGTTCCTCCCCCCCCCAGGACCCACACACGAAATGCGCTCTTCGAGGGCAGCGGGACAGCGCCTGGAGCGCTGGCGGGAGTAGCCTGGGCTGCCGGCTCATCCACAGGCCTGTGAACGGCTCCAGCAGGCCTACAGCCATTGCCTTCTCCTGCTGTCTTCCCCAGAGGGGCTGCAGAGATCACTTAGGCCTTTTCGCCGCTGTCAATAAAATTCCCCAAACAGCCGAGACGTCCGCGTGTCCTCTCGCCGCCAAACCACGCGAGACATTTTGTGTTCCTTCTTTCGCAACACACTGCATAACAATCAGGTGCTGAACGCACTTCCTGTCGTCATGGTGATCACACCCTTTCCTGCTTCCACAGGTTTGACTTGATGTTGCCTATGTGACAGAGTAGGTAGAAGAAGGCTTCACGGCCGAAACGTTGCGTTTTCTTTCTACTTTTTTTCAGCATGGAATAAACCTTGTTCCTTTGCAGCTAAGATGAAAGCCCATCAGTGTACCCCAGAAATACCACCTTCTGCCTGGTGGACTGAGGTCTGCTGTTATCCCCCCTGTGTTAAAAAATAACCGGGATTGTACCCTTAACTACAGCCTACCTGTTTCTTACCCAGCCCAATTACAACCTCATCTTGCATTGTATGAGTTCTGTGAAACTTTCCAGTTTAGACAAAGACACAGCACTGAAACTGCCCTTGTTAGGGTAGTTAATGATTTGCCGTAAAACTACCTGAATTGTGTCTGGACAGGGGGCGCAGGAGTTACACTGACTATATGTTGACGCTCTAGAATAAGCCCTTCCAAGGGGAAAAACATACACAAATACGTTCCACAAAACTTATTTATCAGGTTATTCTTCTTTTGAACCCCATTGTACAATGTTAACAAAACATTTTCACTCAGGGCATATTCAAGGAAACGTCTCTTAAGCTATTTCTAGGGTCGTTTTTACTGTGAGGTATAATATATAATAATAATAATTATAATTGCTTACACTTATATAGCGCTTTTCTGGACACTCCACTCAAAGCGCTTTACAGGTAATGGGGTCTCCCCTCCACCACCACCAATATATATCACTGAAGTATATCTTCTCTCAGAACCACTGAGAGAAGCTTCTCGCTCATCTGGAAGCTTAAACGTAATGACAGGCTCTGCTTTTCAGTGAATAAAAACATTTTTTTAACAAGTTAAAGAATCCTAAAATATAATCCCTTTCCTTGCTGTTATGTGAAGATATCAGGTCACGAATTGTTTTCCTGTACTGGATGTTTCAAATACAGAGAAACACCTATTAAATCCAATTATTGTTTCACATATGTAATGATACACTTGTTTTCCTGTTGAGCGGAAACTTTTCAACCCGTGTTTTATTTGGTCTAGCCTTATACAATAACGCGATTTTTGTGTTATTAAGTTAATCTTATTCTAATGCTGAATAATTAAAAAAAAAAACTAAATCGCTTGCTGCGATGCTATAGAACCCACACGGAGAATTACAAATGTTGAGAAAAATAAGTCTCACTTCATTTTTAATTAAAAAAAAATGAAAACAGTACCGTCCTATAATTGAAAACGCGCCTGGCCAATGCGAAACTAAATTCTAAGGAACATCAAGTGCAATATTGCCGTGCTGTGAGATGATACTACTTGCCTGTAATTGTGCGGTGATGGTTTTTAGTCTATGCGGCGGTCCAGCGCGATCTTATTCCGGGCATACTAATCCGGTAGTCGCTTTTTTTTTTTTTAAATAGTTGTAAAAGTTGAACTGTAAAAAATAAATAAATTTAAAACCCAGTCCGGAGAATACGCTAAACCCACATCTCTACCGCGCTTCTCACGCGGAATTTCGAGTTCCTCCAGATATAATGAGGTCGGCCTGAGAGCTGTGCGCTGATTGGCGACGTGTGCCGCCAGCCACGCCCCCCTCCCACTCCCACCTGCGGTTCTCCGCGCAGAGACCTGGGCGCCGCGTGGGCGTGCCTCCCGCTCGGGACAGGTATGAGCGGAATGCGCCCAGGCGAGTCCGCCCGTCCGCCCGTCCGCCCCCCGCGCTCCGCGCCCGGCTGCCCGGCTGCCTGCCCGCCCCCCACTCCGCACAGCTCCGACTTCAGTGAAGGTGCTTTCGTTTCTGAAAGCGTACCGCGCGTTTAGTGGACAGGTGGGGGGGAAAACAACCCAAGTGTGCTTAAACACTGGATAAACGACCGACAATCCCCGTCCTACAGGATTAGAGCCACTTTCCTGGAAAAATAAACTCCCTGATATAACAGGAATCGGTCAGGCCTTCGATGCCAGAAGTCATCTGATGCAAGAAAGCATCAAGTGGTGCTTTATTGTAGTCTAAAGGATGATGGTGTAACGTGATGACGGAATGTTTGTGGGTTTGTTAATGTTAATCGTGCTATTTTAATTCACGGTTTCTCTCCGTATGCATGAGAGAGATGCGTGCATGAAAATCTAAACAATCCATCTAAAACCGACTGTTACGCATTGCCCCAGTTGACAGACATGACTCTGGACTCCACGTCACTTGCTAGCAAAAGTTTTAAATCAGGTTTTAAATATTCTATAGCCGGTGGGGTGAAGCAATTATGCGCATTATAAAAATTGCAGGTGTACCTGTAAGTGGTGTAAATGGCCCTTGCTTAGGTAAAAGAGAATACTGAAAGAAAGAAAAAAACACGCCGAGAATGTCCCCTCATCTCGGTAATGAATGAAAATGGACCAGGAACACAAAAGGCAAATTGATGACACGGACAAACTGAAAGAAAGAGTGATATTAATTAAACGGGATAATGCCGCTATTACCGGACCTTTTCCCACAGCAAGGTTCAGTCTAGAGCGCTTCTCGTCTTCTCTTCCCGGCGCACCGAGTGCGATTCGCGCAGGGCGAAACGAAGGCACCCAAAATCTGAGGTACAAGCCGAACAACAGGGGGCAGCGTGGACGCGCGTAAGAACAAAGCTCTACATGTTGCTCCAAATAAAAAAATCAATCCTCGCGTTTGAAGGGCACCCCGAAGGACCACAGAGAGTCTCGGATCTAGCAGGGGATCCAATTGGATATAGAGATCATTTCACGTCCGCCCATGTGCAGATTCAAAGACTGAGCGGGTCCAGCTTCATTGTTCACCCCAGTCCTGCTGCTGATGGCGATTCTTAATCGAGCAAGTCGTCCTTTCAGAAATGATTTTAACAAAAAATCGCCTCAGCTAGCAGAGGGCTTTTCATCTCAAAGGCCCCCAAAGGGGTGGGACAAAGCTGCCATTCTGCACCAGCAGCCCCAGTGCACAGCAGACCAGGTGGAGAAGCGACAAACTGGCTCAGCAGCTGAATTAACAGATAGCTTCAGGGAGATTCCTCAGTCAGGACAGCTGGGTTAATACCCCAACTCCTACAGGGCCATGAAACCTCTACTGCTCTAACAGTCAGGACCTCAGGTTGGCCTCTCATCAGAAGGATGTCCCTTCCTACAGCAGTGTCCACGGTCATACTGGAGCACTGGACTGCAGGTCCTGGTCCGAACTCACAAGCAAAACAGCGCAAACCCCACTTACTGGGGCAACTGGGTTTGCCCACCATGATACAGACCAGATCCGGCGACGCCTGGCCTCCGAGGGCTGCAGAGACCAGGCTATAGGCAGCCCGAGCAGCACCAACCATGCCCCCGCGAGGTACAGAACCAGGTACAGCACCTTGACGTCACAGAGTCGGAAGCTGCGGTCTGTTTTAGCCAAGCACTGCCTCGCAGTCCTCCCCAGGGAGGATGTCCCAGCGTCCCGCTGGAGAACCGAGGGGGCTGGCCCAGGTGTGCGCACTGCACGTCAGGTAACTTTGAGCTCTCTGGGGCTGTGCGTCTAGACTGTGTCTTGTAAGGCAGGGGTTCACAAGCTGCGGCCATTCCAGTCCGCTCCATCGCAGCGTTTTAGTGTAACCAACACGCGGGCCATACTGTCCCAGCCTTGGCTATAGATTTACAATCATCCAGCGTGATCAGGCGAAGGCCAAAACTGTCTTATCTGTTTTAAGTTGGGAGATGCCCGAGTGTCCCGAATCGACATTTCAAAAGTAGAAAAATGCAACAAAACACACAAAAACCTTTTCGTGCTGAAGTTAATTCTCCATTGTCGTCTAGCTATATTCTCATTCCCCCCCAACCATTTAGTAAGCCCTGAAAATTTAGTGGCAGCAGTACTTCACAGTCTAGGTGCTAACAAACTTACTAACTACATACTGACGATTTTAACAAAAGGGTAGGTGTGTGGGTCTATTAGTATTTTAGCACTCTGTTACTTTTAGATGTATTAGTTTAGGTTTCATTCTTATTTTGTTCCTAGTTATAACTATTACTCACAATGTTTTTACACCTCTATATGAAAAAACACTTCGGTGAATCAGGTCTGATATATAAATAAATATGTTATGCACAATATCAGCAGAGATACAGAAATAAATGCAGTGTATACTTGGATGTTGTAAATAAAGGTGAAATATTTAGACATTATAATTAATAAACACACATTTCTTGCCTCTAGCCGTTAAATAATGAAAAAAAAAGAAAAGCTGAGTAGCCAAAAGTCCAAATTTTTCACACTAAACTAGTCCACAGCGGGTGGAGCAGTGGCCCTGTGGCTAAGGATCTGCGCCTGTGACCGGAAGGTTGCCGGTTCAAATCCTGCGGCCGGCAGAGGAATCCTACTCCGTTGGGCCCCTGAGCAAGGCCCTTAACCCCAACTGCTCCAGGGGCGCTGTATAATGGCAGACCCTGCGCTCTGACCCCAAGCTTCTCCCTGTCTGTGTCTCCATGGAGAAAAGCTGGGGTATGCGAAAAGACGAATTCCTAATGCAAGAAATTGTATAGGGCTAATAAAGAAACATTATTACATTACATTATACTAGACTCAAATTGAATCCAAAGGTTATTTTACAGTTTTTATAAAGCATCTCAGTAGTGGATTCCCAGAAACAATGGCTGAGCGTTATCTTTAATGTGTCTCTCTGTAGACTCTCAATGGCTGGTAATCCCAGTTAAACCAGTTAGGGCCAACCTGAATCCTTCAAGGGCAAAGGACAAGTATACAGGTTTCTGTTTCAGCCAAGCCAAGCCGTTTATTACAAATTCTCAGAAGGATCCGCTGGCCACTGCCAGGTCTCCCAACAATTCCATAAAGAAGTTCCTAAAACATGCAGGGCTCCGGCTCACAGGAGCTGAAGCCGGCTCACTGTAACTCACGCAGAACAGGAGGAAGTCTTAACAAGACACCAATTCCTGGTGGCGAAGCTGATTTAATAACAGTAAAAAATACAAAAATCACACAGTTTATTTCCATCATCACAAAACCAGCCATTAAAGTTTTCCTATGACAAGCATTTCTAACAAAGGAAAACAAAGCAACTTTATGCCACACAGGGAGGCGCTGGAAGATTGTAAAGCTAGTGGAATCTCTTAATTCTGGGGAGGGTCACCATTAAAATGATTATTAACTAGTCATGTACACAGCAGAGGTGGACTCCAGTGAGTCAGAGATCTCCGAGACACGGCGTGAGACGCCTAGGCCTCCTCGCTCTCCTCCTCCTCCTCACTCCCAGCTAGGCTGCTGTCTGTGGAATCTGCAACAGCCTCCTCCGACACTCCGGCCCCACTGCCTTCGGCCTCCTCCTTGGCTCCTCCAGGCTCGGGGTGCTCTGTGCCTGGCCCTTCCAGCTTGCTGGGGGGCTCCTCCGTGCTGCTTTTGGGGTCCTGAGGAGCCCCCTTCTCGGCTTGACCGGCACTGTCTTTGAGGGCCTCTCCCCCCGCCTTGCCCGAGTCCTTTTCCCCCAGGAAGGAAGCCCAGCCCTTCAGCCTCTCCTCGCGCTCCCTGTTCGTCTCCTCCACCTGCGCAGAGACACGGGCGCCGTGTACAGTCAGTTACAGACGGGGTACAGTCGCAACCCCGGAGTTCGACTCTCGCGGGGGTCCCGGCAAACCACAAATTAGGACACTGCAGCCCACACGAAAGAGCAACGCCGCCGCAGTAACGTCACAGGAAATGGCCGAGCTCCTAGTTCCGAATGCCCGACAAAATTAGCAAGTCTTTTTCCGGCTTATGAGGGTGTGGACACATTCCTAAGAGGTGCTCAAATTTTGGTCCCAACAGCAAATTAGCCTGGCGACGGCTGGTTCAACTGCCACCCCCAGTGCACACGAGTGCCACGAAGGCACGCTCCCAGGAAGATGAGCCGCCGATCCTATTAAAGAAATAAACGGGGAAGACCTCACTACGGCTGTGGCCTTACCTGGTAGTCGGTGGTGCCATCCCAGTGCTGTACGGACAGCTTCCTCCCGCCAAACCAGCGCCCGTCCAGAGCCAGCTGGCACACGTCTGCCTCTTCCGGCTCCTTAAACGCCACGGATGCCACTCCGTCCGGGTGTCTCTGAGGGGCACAGCCAAGCGCGCTTTGTGACGTTCTGGCTTGAGTGCTGTCACATGCAAATCCAACAGTGCAGAGCACAAACCGCCAAGCCAGCACGGATTTTTGTTCTAATTTCAGCCTTGATTTTCTCAAAGTCTTAGGTAAAAGATTCCGGAGGTGCCCTCCGTACATTCCTCCCACAGCTTCTGGAAGGCCCACTGTGGTTGATCTATCTTCGGAGAAGATTCAGTGTTTCACAGGGAGCTTTTACAGAACACACCCCAGAGTGCTGAGAGAGCCCTTGAATTAAAACTTACCACGATCCTCAATGGTAAAAAAAAAAATCATGGTAAAAATGACAAGGCATTTGCACACAACCTACCCAAGTGCTGACAAAGAGATCTTTGTAAGACCTTGAGCTGTTGACGGTTGTTGTCTGTTTTACTATAAAATCATGACACTGTTTATGGAGAGCACAGTTACATTGCTAGTGAGAAAAAATAACAGGAGCCGTAACCCCCCGCTGTCAGAACTGCACTCACGTCGAAAATGATGACTTTCTTGACCTGACCGAACTTCTCGCACTCTGTCCTCAGGTCCTCGCGGATCTCATTCAGCACCAGGGGGTCCTCCTGTGTGTGTTCAGACAGAGGCCACAAAAGAAAGGTCAGCAGTCTTGCTCCGTCTCCCTGAAACTACACAAACCCTGCTTCCCACTGAAACCATCCAAAAATCCACACTTCCAGAAAGGGTTCTACACTCACATCTTCACCTTTCACCCTCCACCAACGTGCAACCATGTTTAGAGCACATGGTTAGAGAGAATACAAACCACAGTACTACCTGGAAAAGGACTACTGGATTGAAGAATGGGCACTGACCGGAGTAAAGGAAAATACTAACTCATTCCCTGTAGAGACATTACTTACTTCTGTTTAATTATTCTGCACTCCCAATACAGGAAATACACTGAATGGTTTATGACAAAGCCAAGACAAAGGTTCACCCACCGGTCTCATTGACCTGCTTTTTCAGATTGCTTAAAAATCATACAAAAAAGGAGACGACTGTCAAAACTATTAAAACACCAGTAAATTCGTACTTTTTTTAAATAAACATTTCCGCATGCAACGAAGCATTCTCTGCCTGGCAGTCTTGCAGTTCACACATGACAAGACCTTTTCAGAAGAAGGCTCTGCACATCAATCATTCAATCATTTACTTATCTTCTGCAGCACACTTCTGCTTTAAAGAAGGATCTGCATCTGATTTTCCCCCTTCTTCTTATCCTCCAGTGTGGAATTAAACTCTATGTCTTCTTTAAATGAAACCAGTGTGAAAAAACCCACTTAATATTGACTGAACAAGGTCCAGCTTTGACTGTTTACTTATAGAACAAAGTTCTCTCCAGCACTGAAATATTAAATCAGTAAGATATCATTTATAACCCAACCATGGCAGGCACAGGGGGCAAGGTAAAGATGCCAAGCCAATCAGTTTCACAATGAATGTGCATTTGAAGCTTCAAAGCTTCAATACAACTCTGCTGCATTCAATAGCCTTTAAAGCTCCTGTCTTCTGCTCTCACATAACGATTTCACACTCAGGCTAGTTCTTTTATCTCCTTGAAGAACAAGTGGCCTTGTAATGTATGAAAACCTCAGATGGTAAACCAGATCAAACAGATCCCAAATGAAAACAGCCTTCAAGGACTCTTGCTGATTGAGATGAATATCGTGAAATGAGCCTGCCCTTAGAGCCTTCTTAAAATAAATAATATTATTTAATCCGCAAAACGTGGTGTAGAAACACCGTATCTCCTTCTTTCCTCTGTTTACGCTGATGATATGAAGGAGCAGTGAGGGTAGTGCTGACAGCTTTTGTGCACTTTATTCTGTAGCCCTGAATGTGTGGCTACACTTGGCAATTACAAAGGAATGAGACTGACGTCAAACAACACTTAGCACTTACCGATCGCACAGGGCACAGCAGCCTCACTGGCGAACTGTAGTTTGCAAGTGTTCAAGTTATTGAGACTTGAGAAAACCAACAAAAATCAAGTTTTTAAGTATTTAGTATTTATCATATCTAGGTAATGAGATGAATGATGGTAGCCTGGATTGTAATGAGGACTGCAGGCTGGATATTGTAGATTCTGTTTTAAGGGTGTTAGTAAAGTAGTATCTCAAACAGGAAAACTCTTGTGGAGCCAAAAACAAGGCATTTGTATTTCAGTGACAAAGAAAATTCCCGATTACCTGTTAAGTACCTGATTCCTGAAAGCCAGACTCATAGGAGTAAATCTGAGCAAATGCTGCCACACCTAAATTCCAGGCAGTCACAGCACTTACAGGGACAGCCAGTTCAGCAAGATGCTGTCTACACGGGTTACATAATATATTTATATAAAGGTGCTCACTAGTCATGTGACTGAGAGGGACACATCAGATGTTAAAATGAATTATCATGTTAAAGGCATAAGGCAAAACAAAAAGGAACTCTCACAATAAACTACATTCGCAAAACCCCTCAAGAGAACAGTTGCTAGGATTTTTAAGTTCATTACTGAAACTGGTACCGACACCATCTGAATAACTTATCGATGGACTCAGGAATCGACATTTCCATGGGCCAGGATCTTCATGTTCTTGCC